CACTAGAGGATTTTATAAACAGGTTACACAAACATTTGTCAGGAACTACACAACTATAATTTATTCTGCCTCGAGGGTCTCCCAGATTTCTTTTTCCAAGATTCTGCCATCCAGAAAGTCATTAACCTAACAGATAAGGTACTCACACAAAATAAAGGGGTTCTGGCATCAAGCTTCTGATCTTACCTAGACAAATAAATATTTAACAAGCACTTGGGCCTCAGACTTGCATGCTGTTCATCTGCATCTTATACAGATGCCCTGGCTCCCAAATTATCATCTCGCTGGGAATCTGGGGTGTTCTATCATCTGTTTACCTAAAAGAAATTTCTGCATCTGAAAGACTTCACAACAGATTTTTCATTTGAACTGACATCAATTTTGTGCACATTTTTGTAGTTAGTGAATTGACCCACAGTAAAAAGTATGTAGGCTGTGATTCCTCCCCACCTGACTTTATTCATCCAACTTGCAGCTTCCTGTACTCATGTGAATCTCTTGGGATGGGACAAACATCTCAGTTGGTATGTACAGAGTCTAGCTAATGTTCTTGGACTAGATAGACTAACTTTCATATAGCTACACACAGGTGGGACAAATCCCAGAATTCAGAAACCACTAACCGACAATACTTTGCAAAATTAGGAAGGGCATCATAGTCTGGCCTTTAACATTTTTAGCTTACATTTCAGTTCTCATCCAACAGAGATGATAGCTTGACAACTTAAAGCTATTTTATGCATATTCAGACTGTATTAACTATTTTTAGCTGTCTTTTTTAACTGAAGTGAGTAAGCACATTTTGCCAAACTGCAAAGTTCAGCAATGTGTTTAAAGGCAGAAGCTCCTTTGAGGTTTAATGCAGTCTTTTTCCAAGCAACATGATTTCAATCCAAACTCTAAAATATTACAATTTCACTTTGTGTTCTCAAGACAGCAAAAAGAAAACAAACAAACAAACAAATTACTTCAAGTTTGATTGACAAGGCTCTTCTATTATGAATGTGATGTAAAATTTCTCCCTGATCACCATATTCTGAGCATACTTCGCAATGACATTCTGCCCTTTAGCTAGGAGTCAGTACACAGCTTTGAACGGAAGTAACTTAGAAGCTTCCATTGTTTCAAGTTCTCTGGGAATGACAGCATTGCAAGCTATGTAATGTTTGCAGTATTCAAGCAAGGATAGAACAGGCCTTGCTGTTCTTTAGAAATTACTTACAATATCTGGACTAGATCCTGAAGATAAACTTCTGAGTCCAAATGCTGTAATACACAGAATATGCTGCTCCTCTTCCCTGCTGCAAAATGAATGTCATGAAGATGCTTGTTGAGGAACAGCATATGGAGGCTGATGGAGGTAGGGGAGTGAAATTATACTGAAGTGATGAGGAAAGGCAAACCCAGCATATACGTTGACTGAAACTAATGAAACCACTCAAATATAAACCCTGCCTAGGGAGGGTCTAGTAGGAGTCTTTCAAGAATGGTTCTGCTGTTCAATCAGCCCTGGGATGATCCTTTCATTATAACTGAGACACAGAACCACCTTCCTTGAAAATAATAAATGATGTAATAAGATTTTCTTCTGTAGAACTATAAATATTGTTAAAATATTTTTTGTATTTTGTATTTTAATGAAAAAGAGCATTTAAAAAACTAGGCAGTTTCAGTCATATACTTCTAATACTATTTTTATACCACCTTGTTTCTTAAGGTGCTATTTCAAAGCAACTCCATACCGATTTATCTTACAAATTATAAATCTATATATGATGTAAATAGTTACAGCTAGTAGAAAGAATGCTATTTATATAATATATATAACTCAAATCAGCATCTTAATCAGTATGATATCTCTTTCTACCACACATATGATCAGAATTCTAAATTATATGTTTTGTGTTTTTATCTAAAATTTTGGTAACGGTAAATCATATAATATGGAAAATATATCCAGGCACACAACACAAAGACAATTAGAAACACCCTACCTTGGTTTTGCACAGCTTAATTGTGCCTCCCTAGGCAGTGATTACATTTTAGTGGTTTCACTAGCTTCAGTCATAAGAGTTCATTATGATTTTTTAGATTACCGTTTTAAAAATAAACTTTCCTTAGGCAGAAATACTTTTTGTTACTCTCTCATACTTCTGGGTTGTTAAACATTTTGTTTTTCCTTATTTATACTATTTTTAATCTCCAAAAATATCTTCACTGACACAATCCACTGCTTTGCCCAATCAGTGGCATAAATTATGATATGATCTATAAACAGAACGTAAAGTCAGTAGAAATGGCCATATATAACTTTGTAAGGATCATGTAGCCGATATTTGCCAGCTTACTCCACAGAAACCAACTGCTGCTTAAGGTGAACATACCCTGACTACTGCTACACTCTGGCTGTTCCTGGTGGTGGACACTTAGGCCATTAATACTGGGCTACAGCAGCACAGCAATGGTTCAAATATTCTCCAGGACCTGCCCTCATGTCTATATGCATCTTGCCTGTGGAAACTTGCTAAAATGTCTTAATTCCAGTCTGCTTTTGCTCAGTCATCTTCTCTTCCTGTACACAGAACAGATGGGGAGAAGCAAAGCACCAAGCAAGGCTTGCAGGACTGGGACTGTGGGACTGCATCTTTGCTCCCTGGCCTTCAAAGGGAGGAGGCACTGGAGACTCAAATTACTAATGATGTTTTCTGTCCCTGACAAGCAGTATTGCATTTCCAGTAGAAATTGCATTCTAGTAGTATTTAATGTTATAAATAGGAGAAACTGGATCTATCTTAAAACATTAAAACAAAGAAGGAAGTTTCATTTGCTATAATGATACACCTATGATCAGCATTTTAAAACCTCATGGCTGTAAATTCCTTTACATACAAGTGCATCTTTTCAAGCAAACATGGACAGAAAATTCTTCATTTTATGTTACTGTCTGTAAAAACATTGCTTTAGAAAATCCATCATCTTCACGGATATCTCTTTATGGCATTATTCTTTAATTATCTCAGATGTAAACATTAGAGAAAGGACTAATTAACTAGAAAATCTTTTGTACTAGACACACGATGTCTATAGAAGTGAGCATTTGTTCTTTAGAGGGTATGGGATCTGATGAAAGGAAGTAATTTGAATTAGCTGCAGATCACATTACTGGATAACTAATTTTCTTCATATTTTGTCCTAGATTTCACTAGACAACAGTTGTAAACATTTCTGTGTTAGTGAAAGGATTCAGGTTCTATTATGACTTCTCAGAAACGGAAAATAAAATATGCAACAGCAAGCATAATCATAAAGGAAAACCAGAAAGTAGAAACTTATTGAGAATTCAAAGCATTATTTTATAGTAGTTTTAAGGATTTCTATTGGAAATTAAGGGAATATGACCCTTATCTCTGAAGATATTCTAAGACCTACAGAACTTCCCAATACCAGAGGCAATATTCTGTTGTTTTAACATGATAGCTACAATAATGAAATAAAAAATGTAACATTCTTAAAACACAAGACAGCACACTGTATTTTCTTTATTTATGTGCTTATACTTTCAGTGTCTCCCGTAACAATTTATAAGACCAAGGCATTTCTGTATTTAAGGGGTTTTTTACATTTGCTTATTTCTGTATGGATAATAAGAAATTTTACTCCAATAAAAATTACATTATATAACACAGAATATATGTAATAAACATCTTTAATTACTATCTTAAAGACAGGCACTATGAGAGATAAATTCTGATTATGACAAAAACTTAAAATGGCTTTGTCAGGACATACCTTGCAGGAAAGTATGATTAGGATGTGAGCACGTGTCCTACTTGAGCATTAGTTAAGAGGAGTTTTGGTGAATGATAGTTGGGATGTAGCAATACTGATAATTCAAATTTAATTCCAAGGTGTCTGGCTGATGACAACCCTGTGTCTGCCCTCATTTGCTTCCTATTCTCAGAAACAACCTTAATGCATAAATTAGACACATGAAACTCAGACAATGTGAGTTTATTTAACTAATAATCTACTGTGGAGGTAAGCATAAAGGGTGAGGGAGTAGTCATACTGTTGCTTACACCAATGAGGAGGTGGAATGAAGTCGTAAAGCATATACAGATCAATCACTGTATAAAACTAAGCACTGCAAAATTTTCTTACGATAAATGAAAAAGATTTTCTTCACTTGAGTCTGGAGAAAGCAATTAAGGTCACGGGGGTATACTTAAAGGTATATTCAAAGCTTTACTGGCTCAAGGCCTACTAGACCATTTTTATGAACGCTTTGGGCCTCCATATACTCAAGAAGTTGTTTTTAGAGATTACAAGGTTACCTTTTCACACACTAGCCATACAAACAAACATGGTTGCTAGCATTTATAAGTGTTTGTGTTAAGTTTAAGTACTGTACTAAGTACAGTATTTACTAGATTCAATTTCAGATCTGGAATTCTGCTCCTGTCTAGTTTGAAAGCAACTGTGTTCAAAACTCTTAGACATGTAATCCATATGAAACCCCAAAAAGTTGTAAGACAGAACTTAAAAGCAGCTCAGATGTTATAGATTGCATTAGAAAAGGAGAGGTTTTGTGCCTAAAAATTAGACAGACTACTTATCCAGAGAAAGACAAGCAAGAAGATTTACTTTGAAAATGAACCTGAAGGACAAGGCAAGTTCAGCAGATTCCTGTAGGTATATGAGAATAACTTAAAAAGAACCATAATGTATTCTTGAAGAATACTTATGCAGACGACAGAGCAGCTAGTGTAGCTTTCTGTGCCTACACAACATCTGTCTCATGCACTGAAATAACCATATTGAAAACAATGTAATGCATCTGCCTTCAGAAATAAAACTCCAACCCAAACTATTTGCAATATTCTCTCCTTTATCTGATCAAACTCAAATAAAAATGTGATTTCAACTTCATTGACCTGCATTTTACTGTGGTTTCACTAAAAATGTGGATGATTTTGATTTTAATGAAATAAATCACTTACCAGCTTTTAACAATGTGACACTTAAGATTTCTCAGCACCCTATACAAAAAAAAAAAAAAAAAAGAAAACAGAAAATATAATTAGTGCAACTTCTCGGAAAGACAATTTTATTTTGCTTTATTGAAAATAAAGATATTTTTTAAATGCTAACATAATTTACTAAAGTAAGTAAAGTTTGGAATTAGTAACATGAAATCTGGGGTAAGACTTACGTAGCCTTCACTAAATCAGCTTTAAGCCATAGAAAAAAGACAGATGAGCTATACCAGAAATAAATGCAGCCCCTGCCTGGTTTGCAAGGAAACATTGGAAGAAATCAGGCTGCAAAACTGCACAATTGCTCTGAATCTTTTTGAGCTGGTCTGGGGGAGACTATGGCCCATTTGAGTGCTCTTGCTAAATCTCTCACTCAGTGAAAAACCTTTTGTCACATAATGTTTTGGAACTTGCACAAATTTCCCCAAATATCAGGCAGTCACAGTATGTCAACAAAAAGGAGAAAGCTCTCTGATTCCTCTGCTTGTTTTAATTATGATTCTGTGATTTAAACCTGATATAAATTTGGTTTCTGTTTTGTTGAGCAGAACCTTAAGAAGGTCAATACAAATTCCATTGTGCGAAAGGTCAAGTTCTTTAGAATAACATTAATACTTTTATTTAAATATCTTGCAAATATTTAAGGAAAATATTTGCTGTCTTTTGGGGGAGGGGATAGAAAGTAGTAAGTGTGTTTTCAACTCTGCAGTTCATATTTGAATCCTTTCTGCAGGTTATAGTTTCTGAATAACTGGATTAATGAAAATTGACAACAGCTCTACTAGATTTAAAGCATAAGCCTCTGCCAGATTCAGAGCCACAACTACAATAAATATAAAAAAAATACGTATCATTCTATCTATCTCTATACGTAACTGTTTAAGTGATTTGAATAACAAATTGTACATTTGTCCTTGAAAAACAAAATACTCAACTTGTGAACATTCTTGGTCACATTTTTCAGAATATGTTAAATTTTAATATAGAAATAAATATCCTTGCATTTAATATATTTTGCATATTTTCCTTTCATTCTTAACCAATTGTGCATTTGTCACAGCTGACAGCTAATAGTTATCCTTCCGTTTTTAACTATACTTTCTCTACCTGACATATTTGTCATTATTACTTAGGACATTTTACAGCATCCAGAATATTTTGTTCACATCATTCCATGTATCACCAATGATATTTATGGCTTTTCCTTCTGAGACAGTACGGATTTCTGATACATAGTAACTCATTGATATCATAATCTATTTTTCACTAGAGGGTGAAGATTTTTCATGATTCTTCTAATTCTTCATCCATCACTTTTTGGTAGGCCATAACCATTTTGTCTTCTTCATGACATCTATTTCATTTGTCCCTCTTGATAAGCATTTGTGCTGAGATCCAAATCAGAGTGAAAACCCCATATAATTAATTTCAGTGACTTATTTATGAGTTAATTTTGTACTTCATCATAAACAATGCTTGAAAAGATGAACTGCATTTCAGTTGGGACTTCCATATAAATTCAAAGGAATTAGGTACTCAAATCTTACTGAATGTTATAAGGAAATCTCTCTCCTGTCTTAACTATATCTCATCGTTTTTCTGTACTTTGAGCCTAACCCAAATCCCATTCAGATGACTTCTTAAGATTTGCAGTGATTTTGGTGAGCTTCTAGTCAATCACCAGAGGCTTAAGAGACTGTCATGCCTAATACTGTAATACTGTATCTCTCATTTACAGTGTTCTCATGACTTAGTGGAACTATTGGTGATTCTACCCATAGCTCTAGCTACCCAACAGGATTGGCTCTAATGCTGAGTGTTTGGTATGCATAATAGGAATCAAGACTTGTAGCTCTTAAATATAGCAGCAATTCACCAGTCACGTAAAACTGACCGAAAATCATCATAGAGTTTTCTTAGTTTATTTATTGAATTATTTTTACTGTTGTTTTTTAAGAAACACATTGATTAATCAGCAAGCCAAACATTTACTGTGCACCTTGTGCTTCAGATATGCCAGGCCCCCACTACACAGTTATTTGAAACTGCAATTCAGTTGCTATGACTACAGCAAGCTCCCATAGGATGGATGTATTTAGCTAGCACATCCCAACCACCCAGAATACTAATGAAATGGAAGAGTCCACCTATATGCATGGCAATTCAAAGATACATTTTACAAAACTAAAATATTTACAGTAAGTCAACTACAAATACAATTATCTTGTGTTTCAACATAAAAGTAAAAACCAATCTCTTTGCAGAAATGTCTTCTCTTTGTATGCTCTGTAGCTGGATTTCAATTTTTATGTAATTTTTTTAAAAACTAGAATTTAAATGATGTAGCTTAACAGAAATAAATATCTATTTTTCTAGAACATAATTTAAAAAATCAAGGCAATAAAGATTTCACATTAGTTATATTCAATTGTATTAAACAGAAAATGAAATATGACAGCTTTTATTTGGTTTTGGCTTTATACAGTAAAATCCATGAAAGGTACTCTATTTTGTGCTTGTTTACCACACAATTTTAACAGAATAACATCAACCAATTTAATCTGTGTTGGTGATGGTAAAGTTATGTTGAGAAAGGACAAATATGAAGTTATTTCTACTTGTATATCAGTTCTGCTTGGTGCTGTTGGGCTGCTCTGGAATATGTTGAAACCTCTGATGTAGGTCCACTTGGCTGCTGACAATCTTGCAGATTTTGGGACATTATAGCTTAAGAACACTGTTACCTTTTATCAGGAAGTATGTGAAATATATTTTGTTAGGAAGATGCTCCAGAAACTATGGCTCTTAGCTATTACCATTTCCATTCATGTCTGTTACTTAATGCCCTTTACTCTATGGGAACTCATACGGAAAATTCCAGTTCAGATGTTTAGTAATTACTGACATTGTCATATATACATACACACACACACACATATATATGTATTTAATTTCAGACCTATCGATGATAAAGAGATTTTATTTGTCTCTTTATCATCTATTTGTTTGATGAACTCCTCCTAAAGATGAACAAAAAAAATCCAGGATTCATATGGGTTCCTCAGGAGGTATCTGTTGCCTTAGAGATGGTAGACTACAACTGTTATCACTGAGGCATCTGTGGATACTAAGATTTAGCAGGCTTTTTGAAAGGGATTATATACCAGGAATAGCCAAAATCATAAAAATAAATACAAATTTTATGTTCATAGAATCTTACATTTATGGAATTTTATAAACAAAACAAATACTCAGGTTCCACAGCACAATGAGTTTGTATGTTAGCACTAGGAGAAAATATTTCTTCTATTACTCTATAACTGCCTTTTACAGAATCTCTGCATTGTGTTATAAAGAAAAAAGGATATGCTGAATGCCCTGAAAAATAAAGCATTGTTTTGTACAAATCCATAAAAATTCTTCTTCAAAAATAAAAAATAGAATAAAGAAATAGAAGAAACCAAAATATTTTACTATTCACATGCAAGCATCATTAATCAACTCCTGACTTAGACACAATGTCTTATATAAGAAAGGCCATTATGTCACATTTCCTCTTGGAATATTAGATTTTTGTGAACATTCTATATCAGAGGTCTAAAAAAAAGAGTATAAATCTCTTAAATTGAGTGGATAGAATCAATATGCCTGCTAAGTGATATAAGGGCATATAGACTGGTGCAGGGATGTATGTCAGGACATGCCAAATAAAAAGATATCTGCAAAGACCATACCTTATATTTTGGCAGGAAGTAGTTATTACTAACTATCTACCTGCTAGTTGCCTTTGGGGTCAAGAAGTAAAAACTGGATTTAAACTGAGGTTTCCTCTTTTGCCAGAATCATCACTGGCCTTTGCAATACAGTTTACAGAATCTAATGTTGCTGAAATTGTGATAGCCACTTAACATTTATCTAACAAAATAGCATTTTCCACTGGGAATTAACTCTGACCTTAGGCCACAAAGAGAGGTACTGCCAGTGCATACGCTGCCTCCACAGATGTAATGCAGGACTAATTGAATCCTGCTCCATTTTTATGAGATGACATGTTAAATAATTCTCACATTAGGTTTGCAGGAACGCCCAAAGGGACTCTATAAGTTCACGCAATGTTCATAGATAAGTTTATCAACACTAACAGGATTAGTATTTAGACATCTTCAGCTGCCAACAATGATGTAAATGAAATGTTGCTAAGTTATGGACTCAGGAAGCCCAAAAACATTTTAAACCACTACATTGTGATCCTGCTCAGAGAGTGATAAAGGCAGAGGTGGATAAAGGCACAAACTGAAAAGTGTACAGAGAAATGCAGCCTCTGTCTGTCCAATAACACAAAGCTCACGCTGCACTTAGTGAGATGTGCCAGAGCTTTTAATTCTCGTACCCTTCCCCCTCTCTAAACTTAGGAACACTGGATCTGGCCAGAGGGAGATCAAAATATGTAAGAGCACAGTCCACTCTGCTCCTTATCTTGGTGCTAAGAGCAGTGTCTCTGAACACCTAGAGGAAACAGTTAAGTATTAATTTTCAAAGTGCATAAAAAGTAAATGGACATCTTGCTGCGTTTTTCATATAATCCGGTCTTTACAGGAGCAAGACAGTTACTAAACGGCAGGTCACTGACTGCTTCTCACATGATCTCCACTCATCCTTTTCTCTGAGAGTCCTGTCTGGTGTCCTGTCCCTCAAAAAGGGAGAGGAACAACTCCCTTGGGCTACCACGGTAAAGCTACCACCTGATTAAAATTAGAAAGGAAGAAGAGGAGAACTGAGATTACTTGAGGTAGGAATGAGCAATTACTCAGTGTAGGGATAGAAGTTCTCTTTCTTGCAGAAACAGAGAGAAGCCTTAATGGAAGGCTGAGGAAGAAGAATGGATGAAAGAACAGGGGAAAGAACAAAAGCCCTAGAAAAAGAGGGTGAGGCAAAAATTATGGAAAGTATGGGTGAGCAGGGACAAGTCAAAGAAAAGGAATAATGTAAAACAATGCACATCT